TCAAGGATAGTACCTGCCCGACGAATGGCATGGGGATGGGGGAGGATCACACTGAATTAGACGGTAGACGGGGAAGGCCACTGAGATGCTGTTGGCCTATCCCTGATCCTGAAGAGCTGCCTCCAAGAACAACATGGAAGAACAGAGCTCACCAAGGCCCCTGGATTCATAGGCACTGAGCCTGTGTGTCACCTCTGCCCAGGGTTCGAGAGGCTAGGAAATGACACCCAGCACAAGGCCTTGCTCCAGGTGCAGACAGAAGAAAATTAAGAATGTATACCTCAAAGGCTGGGCAAGGTGGCTCATGCCTATAATCCCAGCACTTTGGGAGGCCGAGGCAGGAGAATTGCTTCAGACCAGGAGTTTAAGACCAGGCTGGGTATCATAGTGAGACCTTGTCTACTAAATAAATAAATAAATAAAATAGCCAGGTGTGGTGTGGTAGTGCACGCTTGTAGTCCCAACTACTTGGGAGGCTGAGGCAGAAGTCTCACCTGAATCCAGCAGGTCGAGGCTGCAGTGACCGTCAGTGTGCCACTGCACTTAGGCCTGGGTGACAGAGTGAGACCTCGACTCAAAAAAAAAAAAAAAAAAAAAAATATATATATATATATATATATATATATATAACTCATATTTACTTTATTTGCCTACAGCAACTTTGCAAGGCTCAATTCAGAAAATGAACAAAAGTGACAAAAAGGAGCAGGGTGGATTGGGCAGGAGTGAGGGTGGAACTTTTCATACTGTCATTTAGAAAAATTCAATGAATACACTGCCTATTCAAATAATCAGATGAAGTTAACAGGTGTGCTCCCAGGGAGGGCCCTGTACTGGATGTGGGGTGGATACCCATGGCTGGATCAGGGCCAGTTACTTTTTGTTTTTCTCAAAGCCTTAGCTCTTGGCATAGGCAGTGAGCTGAGTGCTACCACTAGGGCGTACACGTGTGCGTGCGTGCAAAGGCATGTGCGTAAGGACAAGCATGCACATGCAGGAGCCTGGCTAAGTCTATTCCTTCCTATCTCAGTGCTGGACACGCCCAGGAGTCGTAGAGGGGACACTGCAGCAGCTGCCCCTGCTTTTCGGTTTTCTGCCCCCTAAGTTACTTTAGGAACTTAACTGTATTATCGCCTTATGTGGGGAAACTGAGGCTGGCCCCACGCACTTTACTTTACAGGACAGAATGTGATGGAAAATGGAAGCTAAAGTCCTTGCTGGGCTTCAATAGACCCACTAGTCAGTGTGTCCGCGATCACGTGTGGCTGAGAAAGCTAATGCTGCCTCTCCGAGTGTCAAAGTTAAACCCAGCTTTGTTTAACCCAGCTTTGTTTCAAAGGACTTTCTAGTTATTGAAAGAATCACACATGAAAAGCCGAAACCAAGAAGCTGTTCTTTCTGGCTGTGTGGGTTTTCCGGAGCTCCCATGATCTCTGGAATAATGGAAACAGCGAGTGACGCCGGAGCAGCTGTGAGCGCTCAGTGGAGCCTGTTTACTCTCTGTGGAGTCTGCCGAGTCTGCAATTTTGGGCTGTTCACCTCCCAGAAAGTGGGTCTTCTGACGTAGCTGTCCGCCCGGCAGAGGCCAGGGGAGCACACGCCCATCTTGTAAACACCATGCTCAGCACCGTCCTGGGGAAATGGGCTCTGCCTTCCCCTGCCTGGCTGTGGTGGGAAGTGGGCGCTGAGGGTTTGGCGCACTCCGTCCTTGCCACCAGACACAAAGGCTACGCCAGGTGGAGATGTTTTTGTGGAGGTCACAGTTCCGTTCTGAGGTCTCAATCAAACACAAGCTTAAGGATGAGCTCTGCAAATTCTTTTTATTTGTCTGACCTAGGAGTCAGTTTGCAATATATGAAATTTCCAAGCTTCCAAGCACATAGTCAAATAAGAAATGAGAAATATTAGCGTAGTCGAAGAGATTAAAGAAAAAAAAGACAATGTACCCTGGGAAAAGCCTCAGGAATCCGAGCACATAAGTGTGCGAGTTCCTCTAGAAAAGAAGCATCTGTGAGCCCGGTGCCATCGGCGTTGGCCCAGTGCCTTCGGCATCAGCCTGGTGCTGGCATGAAGTGGATGCAGAGCAGGAGGCCCACTTCCACAAATGCCCAGGCCCACAAAGCTCAACGGGACGCCATGCGGGACCTGGAAAACCAGCTGGAAAGATGCGTGGAACTAAGCGCATGTCTTTATGGGAAAGCAGGTGAATGGAGACCACGGTTAGGCAGAGACTGCTGGGTGGCTGGCATACAAAATAAGGGCCACGCTGACAGTCTCTTTTCTGGGGGCTCTTCTCAGGCTCACCTGCACACAAAGTGTGCTCACTACAGGTAGGTATTATGGTTTCCCTGGAGACGTGGAATCCTTAATCCACCTTTTCAACAGCAGGGAGAGGTCAAAAGACTCCCAGCTCAAAGAGCCCTCCTCTCAGCTGGGATCTCCAGAGGTCGTGCTGGGGAGCCCTGAGCACAAAAGGACTTTGGGATTAGGATCCTACCCACCACGTGCACTGAGGGGGATTTCTCCCGACCGTATATGTACCAAGGGTCAACTAACTGTCACTGAAGAAGCAGGATAGTGGTACCATGCTCCCAACCCTTTCCAATCACAGCCCTTGCTCAGAAAATGGCACTATTTGGTGGCACACTGGGAAAGATGGCGAGGCTGGCAGAGGTCACTTCCTGGGGACTCCAACTCCCCCTGGGCTGTGGAGGGTAGTGGCCCACTTGCAGCCTTGACCCGCCCAGCAGTGTGCCCGGCAAGTAGCTGGGAAGCCTCAGGAAATTGGAGAACACGAGACCCGGAGTCCTTCAACCACAAGCTCTGGGACTTCTGGCAAGGCACTCAATCTCTGAGTGCTCTGTCAAGTGGGGACAGAGAGGAGCCCAGCTGCTCAGGCTGCTGAGAGAATGCCTGGAATTAGGCATGTCAAGGACTTTGCACACAGTGAGCACTCAACACACCATGCTTTTTATCGATAACATGATATTATCAGTATTATTATTACCTGCACCAGAGATCTCCTCCTATCATCTCAGCAGTCTTGAACTGAGAAGGATCGAATGGAGAAAACATGATGGCTGAGACCGAAGGGCGGCGGTCAATCCGCCGTCTGCCTATGGAGAAGCTGTGCTACTGTTTTTCCTTTTGGAAACTGACAGCCGGACAGCCTGTCCCCTGCTGAGGGCCCCTTCAGTTTCCCACCTCCCTGCCTTCAGATCTAGGTGTCCTTTGGTCAGAGGTCCGCTCATGCTCCTTCAAGAGAAGACAGTCTCCACAGCTCTCTGACTCGGGCATGGCGGAGTGACCCTTTGCTCTTGTTCCTGGGACTTCCAGGTTCTCTGGGAAGCTCAAAAGGCTTCTGAAGTTCATCGCCCGTCCTTGGAGATGCCGCCAACCAATTACCTGAAGCAGGAGAGTATTGCAGTTTGGCACACAAAATCTAGAGTCTGTTCTGGGCCTTCATCACTCAGTCTTGGTGTGCCACATGTCTGTCGTTTGTGAAATGAGGTAAGACTAGTGCTTACCTCATTACCCCAGCAGGACGTTGTGAGCATTAAATAACATAATACACACAAAGTGCCGAGCAGTGCCTAGAGCACGGTGCACCCCCAATACCTGCTGACTATTATCACCTTCAACAACAGCAGATGTTCTGTACCAAAGCAACAACACCCACACTTCACCAGCATCAACAGTGCTTTCATGTTAACTCCAAGAAAAGGTTATAATGCACCACATCAATAACATGAGAGTTACTCTTTGTGAATAGCTCCCTTTCTTTCATGGGGTAAGATGACTTCTTGGGTTATAATTTGTTAATTTGAAAGCAGGTCAAAATCACTGAAATACTTTTTAAGACCTTTCTTTGATTGGAAAAACTCACTTTAGCAATTAATCAAATAATGACAACTGAAAAGAATCATATGACGTATACAAAGGGCCCAGGAGAAAAAAAATCATTGCACAATCGTGCATCTGATTTCCAGCCTCCTTCCTTATAGAGAGATCCTGGAAGTTCCCAAGAAAGGGTTCATGTGACTCCAGGGTGTTCCAAAGAAGACAATATTCCCAGTGAAGACTCACCAAATAAATTCTCAAATGAGTGTCAGAAATTACAAAACAGGCTTGCTGGAAGTAAACTCAAAGACGACACAGAAGTTGCCACAGAAACCCCGACCGTGCCGTGGCTGCTAAGGCCTCAAGTTCTGTGCTGCCTGTGGGATCCAGAGATGAAGACTGCCGTGCCCCGCAGGGCTGACCACGCTCAAACATGGACAAGAGTTCAGGAGCTCTCACGATTCAAGCAAAAAGACACTGAGAAACATTTTCTTTTATCTTCTACCATATTCTTTTATAATTGTGAACAATACAGAGAACTGACTGGCTCCACTGTTTGTTTATAATCCATTTTAGTTGCTGCTGCTTTGACAGCTATTAATACTAGGAATAAAATTAAACTAAGATTCTATATATGCCTGGTAAGAGGTAAATGTGGTAATTCTAAAATAACATTATACTTTTATAGATTTGGCTTGAAACAAATTCTAATACATGCCATCATGGCTCTTAATTTTGGTCACTTTACAGATTCTGACTTACTCTTCAAATATATTAATTTTTATTAAAAAATGGTTTGTATCCAAAAACATATGCATGTTTTGAGAAGTCATACAGTTTAGGTTTTACTGAACTACATGGTAGCCATCTTGTTTGTTGCCTGCTAAATAAAATATAATATTGCTTCAGTGGCAGAGAGATGAATGTCTACACTGCTTTGCTCAGGAACTGAGTAGCTGCTACCATGATGACTTTGTCTTGGGCAACAGTGCAACATCAGTGAAAATAATCTCCCTGGTTATACCAGGAATCGGAGAGTCTGACAAAAATCAGAGCTTGCAAGGAGCATTTGTAGCAATAAACAGAAGTTTCTGATTTTTACTTAAAATTTCAAAAGCTGTCCTGATTTCTAATTTATTGGCCTTGATTACAGGCCTATAAGGAAAGAATTATTTAAATGCCTAGCAGAATTAGTCTGAAGTTGTAAATTTCCTCTGGTTTTTTGGGGAAAAAAAAGTCTTGCCAAAAACTGAGCTCTGAAAAACAAAATGTTTTCTGCACTTAATGTTAGCTTAAAACCACTGAATGAATAAATGAACAGACAGATAAACAAAAACAGAAAGAAAAATACTAAGACATCTACATGAACATTACTCATATAAAAGAAAGGAAAAGGCCAGGTGCGGTAGCTCACGTCTGTAATCCCCCACACTTCGGGAAGCCGAGGTGGAAAGATGGTTTGAGGCCAGGAGTTCACGACCAGCCTAGCCTGGGCAACCTAGTGAGACCTCGTGTCTTTACAAAATATAAAAAAACTAGCCGGGTATGGTGACACATGCCCATAGTCCCAGCTATATGGGAGGCTGAGGTAGGAGGACTGCCTGAGCCCAGAGGTTGGGGCTGCAGTGAACTGTGATCGTGCCATTGCACTCCAGCCTGGGCAACAGAGACTCCAACTATAAATAAATAAATAGGAAAAAGAATCATGGTGAGAACCTCATCATTCCTCAGACAAATAAGCCTGGCCAGCTCCCCTTGCATCTACCATAACCACTGTGAAACGGAGGGCAGGGCCACCCAGGTCCTGTGAGACTCCGGGAACAAGGAGAAAGCAAAACCCACAAATGTTTCTTCTCTTTTCTTGTTTTAAAAATATGAGACTATAGCAATAACAGAGAAAAAGGCATTGTGTTTACATTAAACAGACTCGTACATAGATGTCTCTACATGACAATAGCACAAGTAAGGGGGAGGGGAAGGAGTCAGTTGTGCTCTGCCAGAATCACTACTACCCAGAAATTGACTATGTTCAGTTAAAGATGCATGTTGCAATCTCCAGAGCAAACCACTAAGAAAGGAACCAGACAAAAACAGCTAAAGAAAAAACTGAGCAAACGACTCTCACCTCGCCCCGCGCTCACCCTTGCGCTCTGTGGCCCTGGCCTCTGGCAGGCTGACTCCTCTGCCAGGGGCCTCCTTCCTTGGTCTCTGGACAGCTGCACATGGAGGCCTCCGCTGAAACATCACCTTCTGCGGGAGGTCTTCCCCAGACACCCACCCAGAGCCGAGTCTCTCCACGCCCTCTGCTTCGATCCATCATGCTACCATCTGAAATGCGTGTAGTTGTCAGTTAATGTCTTTCTCGTGCACCCCTCTCACTAGACTCCACTGAGACAGAGACAACGGCCTCTCCTTGCTCGCACTCTTGTACATGTAACACACACTGTGGTCTCCCTCCTATCACTTTGTGCCTTGCATACAGTAGGCAAGTCCCAAGGCTTTTTTTTTTTTTTTTGAGTTGGAGTCTCACTCTGTCGCCCAGGTTGGAGTGCAGGGGCACAGTCACGGCCACTGCAGCCTCAACCTGCTGGACTCAGGTGATTCTTCCGCCTCAGCCTTCCAAGTAGCTGGAACTATAGGCGTGTACCACCATGCCCGGCTCATTTTTTGATTTATTGTAGAAATGAGTTCTTGCCAAGTTGCCCGGGGCTGGTCTCAAACCCCTGAGCTCAGGCAATCCTCTTGCCCCAGCCTCCCAAAGTGCTGGGATTACAAGCGTGAGCCACTGTGCCCAGCTGGCATTTGTTTTTAAAAATGCGTACCACTGTGCTTCACCTTACTCTGATCTCTCTTCTCATCCATCAGACCAGAAGTGGGCAAGCTTTTTCTGGAAAGGGTCAAAAAGTAAATATTTTAGGCTCTGTAAACCATATGCTGTCTCTATCGCATAGTCTCATGCTTCGTTGTTTTTCTAACTAGCAACACTTTGAAAATGCAAAAGCTATTTTTAGCTCAAGGGCCCTACAGCAACAGGGCGGGCTGGGCCCTGTCACTGGCAGCAGTGCTCCGACTTCTGTGCCCAATGCTGCTATAAGCATTGTGAGGTCAAGCCCGAGTTGCCCACTCACATCCCATGGTAGCTAACACGGCACCGAGCAGGCAGTAGGTCTAGCTCAATAAGTTCAGAACTCAGTTAAACTGAGTTAAGCGATAGGAGAGGGAGGCAGAAAGAAGAAAAAAATGGCCAGATTTGGCGTAACAGGCATTCTTCCCGAGAGCCAAGGCCCGTGGCCCAGGCTGGATGCCTCAAAGGATCACTTGCCAAGGATTTACAGGCAACGGGAAGGAGCTGCCCGCACGGCCACAGATTCTCTCTTGCTGCTGGAGCCCCACATCCCAGTCCTCCCCCTTCCAAGCAGCAACTGTTACCACAGGCAGCTGCTTCCTCTGTGTCTGCTGGCAGCGGCCAACTGGGCCACGGAAACAGGGCGCACCCTTCCCAGTAGGGCTCCACTCTGGGCTTCTGTGCCTCACTGTCTGGCTCTCCTGCCACTCAGCACAATGAAAAGCTGACGGCTTACAGAGAACGTCGACCTCCAGAGGCAAGGACAACTTGGCAAACATGGGATCACCTACACAACTGCTACAGAGACTTCTCAGATGGCCAGGAAACGCTCCTGAAAACAGTTTCTGGACAGAAGCAAGTTTCAAAACCTGCTGCGGGCCTAAATTTCACTGAGACATGCAGGGAGGGGAGGGGACGACTGTGGCCACAGACCCACTCCTGAGCTGCAGCATGTGGATGTGGCAGCACCTCCGAGAGAGCCCAGTCCCGAGGCATTTTTGCTTCTGCACACTCAAGCCAAGCCTGAGGCCAGAGAGGCCTGGCTCAAGGGAGGGGCACCCCTTCCTCCTGCTGCGGAATGCACAGGGCCACCGCCAGCTCCTGCCCGTGGACAGCTGTCCTCCTGGGCCTGGGAGGAGGTGGAGGGAGCAGAAGCAGAGGCACAGTCCATGTCCTGCCGCAGTCCACGTCCTGCCGCATCTCCGACCCCCACCAGGTGGAGGAGACAGCCGCAGGCCTGGTTCTCCCTCCTGACACTTCCTTCCTCCCTGTTCACATCTTGAGATCTCGGAATAGTTCACTGCAGCACTCTTCGTTAAATCTCTGCCACTCCATATTCACCTCCCGTTTTCATGGAAGGAAAAAGGGAACAAGCAGTCCCTTGCGCGTTGTACCCAGGCAAGCAGATGCTTCCAAAGGAAGGTAAGTGTCAGATGCTCACTGCATGACTAAGACTCATTATCTAACCAAGCTTCACTCGGATGTAGATAAGAAAAAAGCACAAGGGTGGAGATAACTTATTTGAAGGCAGCTGTGAGCTAGTGATGCAGCAGGAAACAGCACCCAGCCCCTGGGTTCACAGACAAGGCCTTATCTGCCAGGAAGCTGAAAGAGTACAGCGGTGATGCTGAGGGACAGCCTTGTGGGTTGTGAGATGTCTTTGCCAACTTGCAACTTCAACCTGACACCATGGGGGCTGGTCCTTACATAAGAAGAATAATGATGAGTTAATAAGCCTCTCGTTATCCATCAAGAGAAAGCTAGGCCACTGTTTACTGACCAACTGATTAGTGATCCACTGTAACCACCATTTAAGTGTGCCTGCATGTGGAGGGACACTGAGAGTGATGTTGGGACCTATGAAGACACTGTCCCACCCTCATATTATGTGGTACAGAGGGTCCTGCTGGGGACTTTTCACTTGATATGGGTGATGGTCACGATGAAAGCAGTCATGTTCAGAGTAACCCTAAAGGTTCTGAGGCCTGATCCTGGGAATCTACTTTGAAATGGCAATTTGTCCAGGGGAGGGTTTCCCCAGCTTGGCAACACTGACATTTTGGACTCAATGTGTGTGTGTTAGAGGGGCGACCCTGTGGTTTGTAAGATGTTTCGCTCCATCACCAACCTTCACCCACTGGATGCCAGGAGCAACCCCCCACCCACTGGCTGTGATGACCAAAACTGTCTCCAGACATTGCCAAATGTCCCTTGGGGGACAAAATCACCCCAGTGGCTGAGAAACCCTGGCCGAGAGATGCTTTCTTTTTTTAAGATCACACAGTAATACACATGCTCAAGTAAATATACATGCTAAAGTAAAAGAAACCAAGCCAGGACACGAAAGGGTCTCATTTTGATTATTACATGCGGCTTAGAACATTTTAAGATGTATGCTGACATACTGATAGCAAAAGTATACTCACTGTGTACAAGAAAACAAAAATCTTTCCACATCAGCAGCAGAGTGAGTTTTGTAAAGCCTTCTGCATCATATTCCACGACACCTCTAAGTAACAAAAACACACACACACAAACAAAAAACTCTCATCAAAATAAGGTATCAAAGAGAGGAAACCAAGTAAAGAATATATTCATGATGTCAGGGTTACTGAATCTGAGATGAAATTAAGGCACATGAGGCTTACTGTGGGAAGGGCTTGGGATTTGGAATGAGGGTGTCTAGGATTAAGTCACTGCCTCGCCATTTACTATCTAATATGACATCAGACAAATCACTTGGCTTTTGCAGGCTCAGTTTCCTCATCTGCAAAACAAGTACAATAATATCTGCAAATTCATTCTAGGGCTGTGAAAAACTAACAAGATAAACTATAAATGCTACACAAATGCTAGTTACTAATTGTGAGTAAAAGGTTATATTAAGAAATCAGGTCAGCAAAGACACCATCATGCCAAATGCCAGCATACTATCTGTACAGTGACGGTTAAATCTCACTGTCACTGCACTCAGTGGTGATAAGCAATGACAGGACTACTAAATTTAGGGTGATACATTACTTTTCTCCCAAGTATGTGGAAGCCTTTCATATGTGTCCCCTGGTCCTGGAGGGAGCTCAAGACTGGGATCAAGACAAAATAGCAACCATAGACAGGTGGACGCTCATCCAGATGAGAGATGCACACCTCATGTGTCTAGGGAGGACACCCCTGACTGTAGAAGGGGCCAGGCAGAATTCTGGCAGGCTCGCCTCAGGCATTTCCCACAAGAGCTGAGTGCCCAGGGATGTCACTGTAACATGACAATACTAACCGAACACTGAGGGCAGACATTGTTTCTCTCCCACCCGTATAAGGAGAACTTGATGTCTTCAGAGATGCCTTCTCTCTGGCAGAACCAGGCCAGTCAGACCATGGCTACGGATGACCTCCCAGTTTAAATAGGAAGGAACAGCTGCAACCCTCGTAAGGGGAAAGGGACTAAGATACTGAAGGCTTGCGTGATCTGCTCTAAGATGCTGGCATAGCATCCAGAACTTAAGTCAACAATTCCAGCAGCCAGATTATATGCCTCTCTACAAACTCATCTTAGCCCCAAGATGTTTCTATATTGACATGGAAACTTTTTAGGTCCTGCATCCCACAGCCAGAAGCAGGCACATAATGCTTTTCAGTGGGCACACAGAGGACAGCAACACAGTCAAAGTGTTGCTGTCTCCCTGTACTATCTGCATAACAAAACAGACACAAAGACACACGTTAAAGAGAATGGGATTTAAATACACATGTAGATGCAAGGTTCTAGTTTTGCACGGACTCTGGTGAAGTGAGTCATATGACCCCAAGGTGTGTGCACCTGCTCTGGAAGTCTCTATGCAGCACCTTCATTCCCAGCGACGTGTACCAAGGACAGCCATCCTTGAACACCAGAGGACCAACAGTCACAGTTATTGACCACTGTCTGCATTAAAGATATTTTCTCAAAATATTCCTAAATACATCTGAAAACAGTCTTAAACAGTACAGATTCATGTAAGAGATGGTCACACTGTTTGGACACTGACACCATTTTGGAGGAATGAAAAATTCCACTAGGGTCATGAGAAAATTTCTTAAAATTGTTTTAGGGGGTCAAAAATTTGCTTATACTTGTGTCACACTTGGAAAATCACATCCCAGGAATGGCCACCCTTATTCTTGGTTTCACCCTTCTTCCTGTTCCCAGCTTCCTTTTGTCCTAACTTCTTCATTCGCTTATTTACAATTTTAACTTTGTGTTACTGTATCTGTGTATATACGTACACACCCTCTCTGGAATGAGATGGGCTCTAGTCAGACCACTGACAGCCCCAGTGCTGGGACCCAGGGGGAGAAGGTACTGCTCTGCAGGTGGAAAGGTGAACGCTGCCCTTGCCCAGCCAGCTGAGCTCGGAAGAGGCTTGGTCAGGCTCCGGCATCCTCTAGGGAACTGGGTTGCAGACAGAGCAGGGAGGCTACTCAGGAACTGTGGGTCCTTTGGTGCCTTTTCCCAACCCCTAACCTCGAGCATGCATCACCATGGCTGCATCTCATGCTGTCCCCTTCCCAACCGCAGTCCTGGGGAAATGGTGTCCGCCCTGGCTCCACTTCCTCTGGTGGTGCCTTCTGGGGGTTACTGGACTTACCCCACCTCAGGGCTTTTGTCAATAAGACCCATCAGCAATGCCCACCTGAGGAGAGGAGGGAGCTAAAAGTGCCACACAACGGCCATGGGCTCCGCATGCGGCTGGCTGCCATGACCACGGCGGGCTGGGCAACCATGCGGCGGCTCCAGGGAGCTTATTTGGTTCTGCCGTTTGCCAAGGAATACTTGGCAGGTCTCCCTGGAGCTTTAGTGTGAACAGTCTACCCCAAAGAGTGACAGGGGTGCTGTGACGGAGACCTGGGTGAGGGCTCGGCGCAGTCTCTCCGCCAGGCCCCACACCAGGCCACGCACACGGGGCAGCAGCATGGGAGGGCGGTGTAGAGCCGAACTTACGTGCCGAAGTGACTGAGGAAGGCGGCGATGTACTCTCTTCTCTTGTGATACCCCTGGATCACGTACTGCACCTGCAATGGGAACCCACAGCTGCGGAATGGAGTCGGGTGCTCACACACTTTACGACAAGACGTTAAAAGGTTTGTGGACGTGGAAAGAAGAGCGCGACGCCACTGCGTCCCAACAGCTGGAGTCAACAACGCTGCTTGTCTGGTCGCTCCCTCCAGCCATCCGCCTGCCGCCCACCCACCAGCCTGGCCAGCAGCGTGTCAGAGGAAGCTGGAGGCGCCCTGACATTCACCCCCAAATGCTTCAGTGAGCAACTCTAGAAAACAAGAATCACTCCTACATGACCATAATATCACTGGCACGCTGACAGAATGTCCTATCAGTCTCTGCCCTCATCCAGTACCCTGTGCATTTTCAAAATTTCCCAGTTGTCCCCAAAACAATTTTGAAAAGGCAGTGTACAATTAAGGATCAGACCTTTTTTAAGCCTTTTAAGTCTCTTATTGTAGAATAAATAGCACCTCCTTGAGTGTGTATATACATGTGTGTATCTGCGCACACACATATGACATTGATTTTTTTCAAAGGAATTGGGCTATGGCCAGTCGCTGTGATTCATGCCTATAACCCCAGAGCTTTAGGAAGCTGGAGCAGGAGGATCACTTGAGGCCAGGAGTTCAAGACCAGCCTGGGCAACACAGCAAGACCCCATCTCTACAAAAAAAAAAAAAAGAAGAAGAAAAAAATTAAAAAAAAATTAGTCAGGTGTGGTTGTGTGTGTGCCTATAGTTCCAGCTACTTGGGAGGCTGTGGTGGGAGGATCACTTGAGCCCAGGAAGCAAGGCTGCAGACAGCGATGACAGCACCATTGCACTCTAGCCTGGGCGACAGAGTGAGACCCTGTTTCTGAGAAACAGAAGAAAAAAAGAAACTGGGCTAGTTGCCTTGTAAAATGTATCAATTCTCTAATTGATTCCTTCCTTGTTGCTTTACTCTCCTATTTCCTATATGGATGTTAGAGCCAAAGATGAGCTATACATTTTCAGCAAGGAAACTTCCTAGGTGACGTAGGGCTTGATCACTTAGCTAAGTGGGTGGCAGCTGACCAGGCCGCCGGAAAGCCACGTGGCTTGGCCAAGGGGCGTGACCTACGGGCGTGCCTCTCAAGGCGTATGGAGACCGACTCCTGTCAGCTTTTCACCTGCTGGTTTCAGTATTTACATCAGTTATCGCACCAGGAGCTGCCAAATGGCTATTTCTGAATTCTCTCGCTCTTTGTGCATTTATCGGCCGACAGGCTCCATAAAGCAGTGCTTTCTCTCATCCAGTGGAGCTATTTGGTCATCTTGAGCTCATACTAAAAATGCAGAGTAATGCTGAGTTCTTTCTTCTAGAAATCCTAATATTCAGAATAAGGAGTGGTTCGAAGATAGAAGATTTTTTTTGCTTTGCCTTTTTATATTTCCTTGTTATCACCAAATGACAGTGTCTATAAAAAATTAGGAACTCATTAAGCCTGGCATCTGAAAGTCAGTCATTTACCCAGCAGTTTCTAACACGAAAACACATTCCTCATAATGGCTGGAGAAACAGTGGGAAGGAGAGACCCCCAAGACTGTTTATATTGGCTACTGCCACACTGAGTTTCCATGGCCAACAAAAGCTCAAGATAAAGTGCTTGAAATAACCTTGACACAATTGGTACTGATAGCCATGCTGTACCCTTCAAGTATAAAACAATTCTATTTATGTAATAGGGGCTTGTGTCAATTTATAAAAACAGTGCTTACTTTGCAGACTTAATGCAGGATCAGAAATGTTATTTTGGGAAAAGAAAAACAGACGATAAGTTTGCTTAAGTGACTTTGTTTAAAAGGGATGAAAACAGTTCTGTATACTTGATTTTAAAAACAGAAACCATTTTAACAGAAACCCACAACAAAACTGGTTATAAAGATAGATTCCAATGTAATTATGGAAATTCATTTGAAGAGACTGTTTCTAAAAGCAGCCCATACTGTCCTCATTTGTAGCAAACAGAAGAACACCAATGTTAAAAGACAAGTAAAATTAATGAAAGGAAACCAGATAAGAAAAATGGACTGATTCTTATATTTCTGGGAAAATGGCATCATAATTTTTTGAGGAAAATATATGACTAGAAATTAATCTCAACTGGAGAGCTTTAACAGGCTTTTCTTCTCAGTTCTGGAAGACCCAATTTACATTTTCTCTGTAATTCTGGGACACAGACTTGGGGGCAGTGCTAAGGCTCGGCATGTGAGTATGGATCCTGCCCCCAACTGCTTTGTGGGAGGATGGAGGCCGGACTGGCCTCCAAGAGGGTGAAAACCCTGGAGTCTGTACCAGGCCCCAGATCGCAGAGCTGCCAGATTTCAGTTTCTCGGACATTTGAAAAAGAATACTGAAGCCTTTGAGATGTTATTGTACTTTAAAAGTATTTTCTATATAGAGATGAGCTATCTCTTGAATGAAAGAGACAAATGAAACATCTATTTTCCAAGCCAATGTGGACAAGTCGACAGAAGCAAAGAAAATTACACTGTGGCCATTAAATAGAGTCACGGTCCATGCAGGAGAGGAAAAAAGGTAGGTGTGGCCTGTGCATTAATATCTCTAGTTTTCAGTCATACACACTGGCGACACATTAGCAAGTGTATTCCTATACTTTTCGGGGATAGTTGACAACAACCATCAGAGCAAACGCAGCTCACTAACGCAGATGAGAGCAAGCCTGAGCTCACGTGACTGGGCATGAGACTGAAGCTGTGTCTGGGCGCAGGTCTCCAGCGAACGGACCCCAGGCATGACCTTTGGGACAAAGCAAGAGCTAACTGTCCACTGTGAGGCCCAGGAAAGGAGAGCAAGACCCTGATGGCAGCACATGGCAAACGCCTGCAGGCGCACACACACACCAGCTCATAGGAAGCAAGGGGTGGGAAAGGTAAAACCCTAAGATGGCAAAAGAGCAACCAAACACTCAGGGAAGAAAGGAAATCCAAGGAATCTCCAGACACGAATTTAGGAGACGAAGATGAGACTGGAACAGAAGAATTCTTAGAAAAGAAAAAGGAGGTCAAGAAATAGGGCAAGAAACAGGCGAACTGTAGCTCGAAGTCAAAAAGGCAGGTGCGCGGGGGGCTGGAAGACGGCCTGAGACGGCTGGGCACGCAAGTGGTTCTGGGCGCGGGGTGGCCGGGCAGGGGAGGCGGGGACTTGCATTTACCTTGTTGGTGAGCAGGTGGCACACTTGAGGCACGTAGTCAATGAGACATCCTCCTCCTGGAAAGGCTGGGATGTGAAGCGCCGAGGAGCCTCCAAGCGCGCTGGAAGGACAAGAAGCAACGGACACGTCTCAGCGCACGCAGCTTAGCAATAATCCCCAACACACGTGCTTCTCGGCCGGCAGTCTGGCCACAACTGCCTGCATCGATGATGATGGGAACACGGGCCTCCCTTTCTGGTTGAGCTTCCACCCTCTGAGTCACTTGAGAAGTCAGCATGTCATTGCTCATCACTGGTAGCAGCTGAGGACCTTCAGCCTTGACAATGAGAGGGAGCCAGCTCCAACACTGAAACGCCTTCCAACACTGACGGGCCGTGGACGTGCCCGCAACATGCACGCTACTCAGCCGGATTCGCCCTTAAATCCCTGACCTGAACTCAATGAGCGATGCGCCCCTGTGGGAGTCCTCAGGAGGCCAGCTCCACAGCTGACACACTGAGACCTGCATTCTGGCAAGAGCTCTCGGCAGGAGGCAGAGGCGGCCATCCCCGACCCCAGCACAAAGCACAAAGCTGGCTCCCAGTCATCTGTGGCACTTCCACAGAGATTCCCCTTGTAGTGAGTGGATGGGTGGGTGGGTGGGTAGGTGGGCGGCACGCAGGCACCTCCCTTCTCACCCTAGTTCAATTTCGCTTCCCTTCCTTCAGCCCTTGCTTGAGCTTAGTTTATTTTAACGTGTATATTTCTATAGGCTCCCTTAAACCCTCTCTGTAGCACGATGGGATATTTTTCAAAACCTTAAAATCCCTTCAAGCTGTCATTATTCATTGTCCAAGTCCCCAGAGTTACAAGGTTGTAAACAGAAGAAAACGGTGCCCCGCGAACTGGCTACAAAAGCCACTCCTGAAGAGCACAGGGCGACCAGACTCAGCCAGGGCGTGTGGGCAGGCATGGTCCCTGCTGACTACAGAAGTATGACACGGACTTTTCTGCAAAAATGAATGTTATGTTTGTTTACGGAAATGAGGTGACTGACGGGAGGAAGTCAATGTGGAGTGGAGCTAGTCAATACTGACTTTCCTACTCAGGTGACACTAGCAGCACCACGCTGACCCCTGAGGACACGGAGACGGCATCTGAGTTGGACCTTGAGGAGCCACCGGAATGCTGTAGCTGCACGCAACTAGCAAGGCCACCGACCCCTTTGCCACTCTTCAAGCAGACAGGGGCAAGGATCAACCTAAGCACTGAAGAAGGCTAGGAGAATCCCCATGATTTCCTGGGAACCAAAGGAAGGTTTTTTGTCTCCATAAGCTTCCACAGAAGGCACACCTCTAGCCAGGAGGTCCCAAAGATGTCATCGGGGTACACACGTGATTAAGGAGAAACTGCTACAGTACAAGAAGAATAAGCCCAATACTTATGTCCTTGGCGTAACAAAGTTCCAAAAAAGAAAATAATTTGGACAGTGGGCTTTGACTCCTATAAAATATTACAGGATAAATCCTAATCATCAAACTGCATACAAGGAAGAAAAATAATCCATGGGCTTGCCTCTGAACTTGAAACTCTCTCTTTCTCTCTGCTCAGTGGTGTCTTTCTCAAATGCAGCCATGGACAAGATCACCCCTAATGGTGGGAGCCACATAGTGAAGGCACCTGAGGCCCTTGGGTTGCCGCTCTGACACCCACTTCCGCCATTGCCGAGAACCGGCACCTGTGGCTAGGTGCTCTACCACATCACCTAATGAACCCTCCCCACTAGTCACCGAGGCAGGAGTCATCACTGCAACTGCCCAGGTGAAGGACCGAGGCTCAGGACACAGAAGACATTGCCTCGGATCACACGGCCAGACAGAGGCACAACCAAGCTCCGAATGAAGGTCTGCCTGTCACCAGGGGCCAGGCTGTTCCTGCTCAAACATGCTGGCTCCTGAGAGGAGGGGACTTCACTCATGAAAGGCTACAGGTTGGGAAGATGTGGCATACCTAGCCACTGTCAAGTCAAGGGCAGACACGGATGCACAGCCCACATCCCTGTACAGTGCCCATAGCAGCCTGGCAAGCCTTCCTCTGGGTTTTGGGCATGTCTCAGTACTCCCCCACCCCACCATCACCCCCCAGATTCACTTCAGCTCCAGCGTGATGGAGTGACACCCCGGCCTGGCTAATCTGAATGACTTGGTTGGCGGTCCAAGGAGAACCTGAATGTGGGAAGCTCTTCAGGGACCCCAAGGGACAGTTTTAATGGAGAGCTTCCTTTTTTAAAGACAGTATTCATCCTTTACTTAATGCAGCAGCTTCTCGGCTTGTAAGGGCACCAAACTCACAGCTAGCATCGCACACATTGATAAGTGCTGCTGATTCATGTATAAATATCCGCCTCATGGGTAAATATTTAACAGACTTGCTATAGCCTGAACGCTGCCCTGATCACACTGAATGAACCAAGTCAAGTGCCATGAAATAAAATAGATATTATGTTTTTTTTGGGGGGGGGCAAGGTGGTGGTAAGGCCTTGTGACCTCTACTTATTTAATATTCACGAATCAAAAAATAGTGGGCTGAGCATATACAACCGAACCTCACCCTGTGCAGAGACTGCAGGGCTCACCCTGACATTCCCAGGGATGCAGGGCAGGGCCATCTGGGGAGGAGGCAGGGCCCACCAACCGCTGAGTGGCTGAGGAAGGATCAGGAGATGGCAGGGACTTCCTGGAATTGACACTGCTACTCTCTAGAGCAGGGCAGTGAGGAGGTGAGGCCAAAAGGGGAGAGGAGTTTGGTCAGTGTGCAGGGCTCAGGCTGAACTTGGGAGGAGACAGGAGACAAGGGTAGTTCTCTCTCCTCATGGAGTCAAATGAAACATGAAAGCAGTTGACAATTCTTAGAACTGAAACAGATTCTGTGGACATAAATTGGGAGGACTAGGCTGGAGTGTGGAACAATGAAGTCAGTGACATCTTTGGGACCTCCTGGCTAGAGGTGTGCCTTCTGTGGAAGCTTATGGAGACAAAAAACCTTCCTTTGGTTCCCAGGAAATCATGGGGATTCTCCTAGCCTTCTTCAGTGCTTAGGTTGATCCTTGCCCCTGTCTGCTTGAAGAGTGGCAAAGGGGTCGGTGGCCTTGCTAGTTGCGTGCAGCTACAGCATTCCGGTGGCTCCTCAAGGTCCAACTCAGATGCCGTCTCCGTGTCCTCAGGGGTCAGCGTGGTGCTGCTAGTGTCACCTGAGTAGGAAAGTCAGTATTGACTAGCTCCACTCCACATGAATGAAGTGGTCGATTTAACTGACTTCAACAATGAAGTCAGTTAAATCGACCAGAAGGTAACCCTGCCCAGGTCTGTCTTGTTGGCTCTATAAGTCAGCTGTGAGAACTGTCTGTGCTGAATATATCAACCTATTCTCTTCCACGCAGATGAAACCAGTAGCCCTCTGTGAACCTCGCTCTGTCTGCAAATACTCAGCATGTCTCTCATGCAGCCAGGCACCACAGCCAGCGCTGCAGTTTGTGTGGACCCCACAGACCACGGTGGCCCCTGAGATGGTGACCCTGTATTTGTACTGTACTGTTCCCATATTTAGATGCACAAACACCATAGTGTTACAGCTGCCTTTCGAACCCGGTATGGGAACGTGCTCACAGGTTTGTACCCCAGAAGCATGGCTGTGTCATGTCGTCGAGCTGGGTTTGCGTACGTATACTCGATGACATTCACACAATGACGAAACAGTCGAATGACACATCTGTCAGAATGTGTCCCCATCGTTAAGTGAAACATGACCAGTCTGGAGACTTGACCTGGCTGCAGTGTGGCAATACAACGGAATTATTTTTGAGTGTCTGACATGGAAAAATGCATGGAGCCGGCCTGTCTGAAAGCTTGACTTGGGACAACAGGGCCTTGATGGGACCCAGTGTGGAACAGCCAGTCCCTGTCCCCCAACCCAGGGTTGTACCTCACTGGCCAAGTAAAAACGAGCAAAAGGTAACTTAGCAGCGGAGAAAACCAGAGGCCCAGTGATTCTTAACCATAATTCTTGCTCCTGTCCAGTTTTCCCTCTCTGGTTCCACTCAATTTCATCAGTGCAGTGGCCATACTGCTCTCTCAAAAATTCCTATCTTCCTCAAAGCATTAAGGGTTAGAGTTCCAGTCAGGGCTACGCTAACGCTAAAACAGCGCCCAACACTCCAGGAGAGACTCTGTTCTAAGAGTATCCGCTGTCCAAGGGTCGTGACAAGGCACTGTCAGGCTGAGTCAGCCTCAGTGTCCTGCTCTTGCCTTGAACTGGGTTCTGAGGGAGAGGAGGCTGACACTGGCCCCCCCCACAGCACGAGTCAGGGGCGTGCATGGCAAGGAGGGACTGCCAGGCCGACAGACGAAGACACGCCGCCTTAGAGAATTCTTTCCCAGACGAATGGTGTGGAAATTTCAAACGTCCACCCATATACTGAGACTGCGGTATAAGTGGCTGAAATTGTCCTCAAGGCTTTTCATTCATAAAACCTACCACCTTGCTGGCTCACTTTTTCTCACCTGAAGATGTCAAATGTCACCAGTTAACCTGGTGGGATGGAAAACATCACTTGTAGATTCTGAAAACCCAGAAGAACGTAAAAACTAACTTCCGGAGTGGCTCCAGTGTGGTTTTGTTTTCCAAGTAAAATTTTCTTTTCTAGTGAAGCATTTTCCAGACCTGCTATTCACCCTCATCTCATTCGTAGACAACTTCGAGCAACCTCGAGGGGCTGGCTCAGTCCTTCAGTCCATGTACAACATGGAAAGACGTCACGTTGTACAACAGGACAAGAAAGCACAAGATGGGATCAGAAGGATGAGGCAAGGAGACAAGTAGGGACAATGTGGGGCGTCATGCTGAATCGGAGGCTCACTGAGTGTCAGTGCAGGCCATGCTGCACTGGCAACAAGTCTTGCATCTCCACTAAACACAGGCACAGCATAAGGAAGTTCTCTGTTGCAGCACTGGACTCCATGGTTTGTTTCCCAGCTTTGGAGGCATTTACAGAAACAGAAAGGTTCTGAGACAATGACAACTATGACTAAACACTCAGAAACTGTTCCCCCTTGGAGCAAAGTC